GGACAAGGGGGTGGTCTCAGATGTGTTTCGAAGGTGTGGCTGGCAGGATTTGCTGACCACTGAGAAGAGATGTGGGGTCAGGGAGATTGAACAGAGTCAAGGATGACCCAGAGGGTTTTGGCCTCGGTAACCATAAGGATGGAGTTGCCACTTGCTAAGATAGGGAGAGATGGTGAGAAGAGCAGGTCTGGGGGGAGAGGCAAGACCAGGCTTGGTCGGTTCGAGAACACATAGATATCAAAGTGGTATCAGATTGACAGTTGGCTATAGGAGTCTGGATTTGAAGGAAGAGTTCCAAGGGAGAGATATAAATCATGGAATCCTTGACATGTAGGTTGTATTTAAAGCCACAGAATGGGGCCACATGGATGGCTCAGTCGTTTAAGCATCTGCCTTCGGCTCAGGTCATAATCCCAGGGTCCTGGTATCGAGCCCCACACTGGGTCCAGCATCAGTCTCTCTGCTCCTCAGGGAGTCTGCTTCTCCTCCCTCTGGCCCTCCACCTCTGTTCATGTGTTCTTTTGCTCTCTCTCTCTGCTCTGTCTCTGAAATAAGTAAAATCTTTTTTTTTAAATTTTATTTATTTATTTGACAGACAGAGATCACAAGTAGGCAGAGAGGCAGGTGGGGGTGGGGTGGGGAGCAGGCTCCCCGCTGAGCAGAGAGCCTGATGCAGGGCTTGATCCCAGGACCCTGGGATCACGACCCGAGCTGAAGGCAGAGGCTTTAACCCACTGAGCCACCCAGGCGCCCCTGAAATAAGTAAAATCTTAAAAAAAAAGAAAAAACTTAAAAAAAATAATAAAGCCACAGAATAGTCGAGATCATCAGGGACATGGCACGTGGATAGGAAGGTGGAGGGACCAAGGACTGAGTTCTTGGGTCCTGCCAACATTTTGTGGGTGCGAGTACTGGCAAAAGAAACCAAACCATGTGCAAGCCCTGACTCAGCACTTCCACATGTATTAACTCATTTAGTCCTTGCTTTCACTCTGTGAAGTAAGACACAGTGTCACCGCCCGTCTTTACAGATAATGAAACTGAAGTGCAGAGACCTTAAATACCTTGCTCAAGGTCACAGGGGGTTGGTATAGCCAAGATTCAAGCCCAGGCCCCCTCCCAGCATCTCCCCTTAGGCCCACGGACTACACCTTCCCTCAGTGACCATATCAAATGCTCATACATTTCATCCATGCAACAGAATGAACTTCTAATACAGAGCGACCTGAACAGGATCCATCACCAGCCCTCCGAATCTCAGTTTCTGTGTTAGTAACACACCAGGCCGCCTCCTTGATGGAATTGTGCCGAAACCAAAAATGATCACGGATGTGAGAGTCTGTGTAAGCTGTTCTGTGCAGAATCTGTGTTTTGTGGGTCGCAGGATCTCTAGGTTAGGAGAGGCCCTTCTAAGCCCTTGTATAGAATATCATCCCCATCAGAGGCAGCACGTTCCTTAATAACATCCATGACCTATAGTGTGCTGCTTCTCTGAGCCCTTTCTCTCTCTACAGTTCCATTTGTTAGTAACTTCTTTGAGCCCAAAGATACTCCCTACAATTTCTACTCATCAGATCTGCCTTCCTCTCCCTGAGACACCGAGTATAAATCTGTGGTGTAAGGGCGTGCTCACATGCCCTTGGATTTTTCTAGGCGTTCCTCTGATTGCCCTTCCCTACTTGAACCCAGATTCATTTTCCCCAGTGAATCAATCACCTGCAAGGAGAATACAAATTATTCAAAGAGAAACAGAATTACTTTTAATAAGATAATTGGTTGCACGGGGGATGAAGGAGGCTGAGAAGAATCCTGGAGGTAATGAGAAGATTAGAAACAGCAGGAGAGTAACAACATCCTAGCCTTAGTAGGGAGGAGGAGGTGGTATTCAAGTCTGGGGGCCTGGGTCCCCTAGCTGAAGCTAGAACCACAAAAAGACTCTGCGTCAGGGGCTGGAGCCATGGAAGGGACACTGCCAGGAACAGGGAGCAAAGAAAAGAAAAACCTTGCCTTCTCCCCTGCCCTGACCCCCTCTAATCTCCCAGCAGTGCTTCCTCTTGACTAAATTCAGTGGAAACCCAGCTACAGGCCTGTCTGCCCTACGTGAAAAGTTGTTTTGTTTTGTTTTTTTACCCGTAAGCAGCAGGTGCAATGATTAAAGCCACCTCGGATGGCAGCAGCATCACTGGGATCTCTGCTGCTGCCATAACAGGGCACTCTCCCTGTGTGTCTCTCTTCACATCATCTTCCATCTGTTGTAAGGACTTGAGTCATAATAGGTGAAGGGATCACCATACTTAGTATGACCTCATTTTATCTAATACCTCTGCAGCCATCTATTTCCAAATGTGGTCCCATTCTAAGGTACCAAGTTAGGACTTCAACATACCTTTTTGAAGGACACAATTCAACCCATAACAAGGATCTTTTGGGATCTAGATGGTAATTCAAACCGTGAGACTAAAGAAGAACCCATTTCCCTAGCCCCTAGGGAGGGAGTTGAAGGGATATCTAGAGCCCTAGCTTGGGAATGCCATCTTGGAGAATTGAGGGGATGAGGAGAATCCAGCAAAGGAGGCTGAGAAAGAGCTTTGAGTGAGACGAGAGCCAAAGGGGAGGCATGTGGGGTCCTGGAGGCCAGAGGAGGAAAGTAGACAGGGAGGAGAGTATCAGCCGAGGCCAAGGCAGCTGACGGATCAAGAAAGAGGATAAATAACAAAACAAATGAATAAACAAAAAACAGAATCATACCTATAAGTACAGAGAACGAAATGATAGTTGCCAGAGAGGGTGGACAAAATGGGGGAAGAGGAGTGGGAGATGCAGTTATGGAATGAATGAGCCACCAGAATAAAAGGCACAGGAGAGAGAATATAATCAATGATCTTGTAATCACACTGAATGGTGACAGATGGCAGCTACACTTGTCGTAAGCACAGCATAACCTATAAACTTGTTGAATCACTATGTTGTGCAGCTAAAAATAATGTAATGTTGTGTTATAACTATACCAAAAAAACAAACAAACAAACAAACAACCCTCATGAAAAAAAAGAGGAGGATGGGGAAATGGACATCTGATTTGACAACTCTGAGGTCATTTGTGACCTTGACCACCAAATTTCAGTGGAGCAGAGAGGATGAAAGCCTGATTCCTGTGTGCTCATGAGAGAATGGGAGGAGAGGACTTGGGAACAGCTAGTACAGAAAATTCTATTTATGTGTTCATGGTTTCTCCACACTAGCATGGAAGAGCCAGAGGGCAAGGACCTGGGAGTATCCCATTTGTTTCTGTATCCTAGGGCCCAGTGCCGTATTTGTTAAAACCATGTCAGATATTGTACTAGTATCTCCTTCAGATGTGGGACTCTGTAATTTTCCAGTTTGGTCCGATCAACAAAGAGTAGAGAGGATCGATAGGGCTGGACTAGATTTTTCTGGTCTTTCAAGCTCTAAAATTCTATGATTGTGTGACCTGTTCTATCCACCAGCCCCGCATTAACGCAGCTAGGAATCTAAAGAGTTGTTTGTTGTCGTTTGTATTGCAAGCAACTGTTAAATGGCTGGAATAAGTGTTCCATTCATAAACTGAACATTGTTGAGTACCTACAATATATATGGTATATTTGCTATGTATATGGTCCCATTAAAGATGCAAGACCAGGGAACCCAGGGTGGGGGAGGATGGTCAGAAGAGGTGAGGGAGGCCTCCCTCTACTAATACTCTGGAGGTCCAGGGGGCTTTGATGTGGTTGGTGCTACTGTGGTTGCTGCTGAAGATGGAAGAGGCCCCGAGTGGCCTGTGTGCAGGGCCTCACAGAGCTGCAGCTGCCCAGGACACAGAGCAGCATTCACCAAAGCATAAGTGACCTCTATTTGCCTCACGACTAATCAGCCCGGGGTGGGCACAGAGAATGGCAGTTCAGGCAGTGGGAGGAGGGGAAGATGCAGTCCACAGATCCACCGTGCTACAAGCCAGACATCGTATTCCCCACCACATCCAGGGCAGGAGGCTTCTGCTGCAGGGGAACAGCACTTTTGTTTTTTGCTGCATGATCTGTAGGCTCTCAGTAAGGCCCTGTGAGCAGGGCAGGGTTTTAGGCATAGATAGGAGGGCCCAGGGTATTAACCAGATCTGCGGGAGGTGCACCTCAGGGCTCAGTTGGTCAAGCACCTGCCTTCAGCTCAAGTCATGATCCTGGGGCTTTAGGATCGAGCCCTGCTTTGGGCCTCCTGCCTGAGGGGAGCCTGCTTCTCCCTCTGCCCATCCTCCCCGCTTCTGCTCTCTCTCTCAAATAAATAAAATCTTAGAAACAAAAACAAAACAAACAAACAAAAACCTGTGGGAGAGGGGCAGAGCCAGGACAAAAACCTAGACGTCCTGACTCCAACTGTCTGCCCTAGGAATAATGGAAAGTGTTTGGATTCTGTAGTCTGTTCCTGGATTAAATAATATTCATTTCAAAACAAAAAAAAATACTTTATGACTACCTTGCCCAAATCCTTTCTGAAACAAGGTACCTCAGTTTCCTTGTAAAAGAGGGAGCAAAATGTCCAGCTTACAGGGTTCCTTGCAGGATCAAGGGCATAATATGAATGAAAGTGCTTTGTAATATACAGTGTTCAACAGACATTTATTAGTGGTTAGAAACCACCAGACTGCCTCTTGCATTTATAGATTAGGCTCTCCCACTCATCTGACCTGACCTCTTTATTCCACTTTCCACTCATTTTCTCCGTCCCTCCTCTTCTAACATACAGAGGAAGTAGGAGGTGAAAAGAGCACGTGCGTCTAACACCTGGCTTAAACGTGGCTTTGGGTAGCGCTCAGGTTTTGCCATTCCAGAGTTGCTGAGAGATGGCTCTTGCCCAGTACTACATTTCCCAGCAATCCTCCCGCGGCACCAGCGGCAGCGAGGCGCATGCGCCGAGTGCCGCCCCGCCTAGTCTCGGGGCCGCACCTCCGAACCGGTTTCGCCCCGCGGAGCCGGCAGCTTAAAGTGCGGCGGCTGCGGTCCTTGCCGGCCGCTGCTCCCGAGCCGTAGCGGTCTCAGGTGTACGTCAGCTCGGCTCAGTGCCATGATCCGGCAGGAGCTCTCCACATCCTACCAGGAGGTACATGGCAGCTGGGGGCGGGGGCGGAAGCAAAGTTTCCCGTGGGGCATCCGAGCGGGTTCCCCTTGTCCGGGCGGGTGGGGTGCGGGGGGCGTCCCAGTGGCTCGAGTGCCCTTTTCGAGGAGTACGGCGGGGGAGGGGGTCCCCTCGTGCGGAGGAGCGGCGGGGCAGGAAGGAAGCGGCAGGCTGAGCCTCCTCCGGATGCCGCCGGCGCGGGATGGAGCAGGGGCCCCGGAGGAGCCGCGATCGGTAGCCGGCAGGTGAATGATTAAAGCGGAGTCGGACCCAGGCAGCTGCGCGCGGGCGGGCCTTGACCTCGGCTGATCTTTGCAACAAGTGGCGGCACGGGCGCCCTTCTCCCAGCTAGAACAGATGTGCGGGAGACATTAGCCTCTCTGCAAGCCCAAGGCCTCGTGGCCCCTTGCAGGTGTAAATGACAGCGATAATTATGCCTTGTTTGGAGGCCCGCCTAACTTTGCAAAGGTGCTTCTCGCCGAGCTCGGTTTTTCTTAACTGTCTCATCTCCTCCCACTACTTTAACTCTCACTTTCCAGCTCTTTGTCTCTTTCTTGTTTGTCCTGAGCTACAGGCTGCGGTTCCGCTTTCCCTCACACCTCCCGACTCCCCGGAGCTAGTGAACTGCTCTCCTCCTCCTCTCAGGTCCTATATCCTGGTCATCTCTGGGGATCATCCTCCCCTGTGCCCCGCACAGTGGTCCCCTCACTTGTGCGTTCAGTCAGTTCCACATCTTCAGTCCTCAAGTTTGTGTCCCTGTGTCTCCTCTGGCCAACTGCATGAGATGCTGTGTTACCAGCTCTCCCTTTGGTGTCTCCCATGCTGTGCAGGTTCCTTTTGAGGCCCTGCCTTGATCCCACAACATCCCTTTATACAAACAACCTGATGCTGCTCTTGAACTACCCAAGTCCAAACTTCTTAGCAGCTTTCAAAGCACTGCTCAGAGTCATATCTTCAGTTTTCATCTCACCCACCTATATTCTAACCACACTGGAAACTCACTCTTTACAAAGGTGCACCTGCTTTCCTGTCCCTTTTCCGCTTTCTCACACAGTTTCTTTTTCTTTAACTGTCTCTGAAACTCCATTGGTTAAAATTCCACCATCCCCCCATTATTCAAGGAGGGATCTTTAGTCCCACGTGCTCCATGGAGACTGACTTCCCAGATCAGTCTAGCATTCTGCCTGTCCTTCTCCTATGTACTTCCTGTTGTCTTGATCAATACTGACCACTATTGGTGTACATTCCTCGCTTTGTAAATGATCCTGTGTGGATCAAGCAGATGGCTTAGCCCTAGAGTGCAAGGGGAAGCGAGTTGAAAGTCGATGAGATTTGCCTAAGGCTTGCTATTTTTTTAGTATAAGACCTGGTCTGGAATCTGACTTTGGGATAAATTTCTGTATTTCTCCTGCCATCTCCTTTATCCAAAAGGAGCCAGATGAATTTTAACCCAATGCTGTGGATTCTGTGGTCTCTAGATTCTATACTCTAGACAGTGAGGGAATTCTCAGGAATGAGTTGTGTCTTTCCTCTGAAAGTTTTCAGGTTTATAGGGAGAAGAGCATAGTGGATAAATACTACTTTCAAGTCAGAAAGCCTGTGTTCCTAACCTGGCTCTGCTTCTGGCCATTTGTCAAGTCACTTAACTTCTCTGAGCTTCGGGTTTCTTCATTTGCAAAGGAGGGTAGCGATAGGCCTTATCTCCTATACCAATGAGTTGGTATACGGAATGTGCTTAGCTCAGCGCTTGGCAGGGGGAGACCCCTCAGTGAATGATGGCTCTTGTTAATAGAGCGTGGGCAGCTCCTGCTTCTAGGGCGCTTTGGGATCCTGGTTTGTAGGACCATGTCCCTCACTGTCTGTACATAATCTGCAGTATCACCTTTCCCATCAGGGCTCCTAAAATGGTTATTAAAATATAGGCAGTTATCCTGCTTTTAGGGGCAAGGCCAAAGGTAGAGTCACTTTCCTTTTGGGGGCACCCCAAGATGGAAGACATCGAAAGGACCCTTCCGCTTCTTCAGTGGCTCATTTTGAAGTCCCTGTCTCTTGCTTTGTTCAGAAGGAGGCCTCCCAGAGAGTGGCCTGCACTAGTCCTGCCTGGGTCATTCTGAGAGCAGACCTAGCTCTGAGTTAAACTGCTTTGCTGAAGGGGGGATTTTGGCTTTGGGGTTGGGGTAGGCAAGGAGTTATTAGGGCTGCAGGTAGTCAAGAAGGGAACTGGGTTGGGCTGAACCTGGGTAATGCCTGGAACACAGAACTCTGGGCCTTCTCAGAACTAACATCCTTCTTTCTCTTCGGCCATCAAGAGTCTTGGGACCTCTTGCTCTGTGCTCCCACGACCCATATCTCATAGTGTTTTCTCCAGCCTCCTACTCCTCTCCCATATGTTGATTTTCTTGTGAGCTTGGAGGTCTTCAAACTGAAGGTTTTATCTGATTCTGAGGGGCAGGAGTGGAGGCATAGAAAGGACGATAGAGGCACTTGGCTGGCTCAGTGGGTAGATCATTTGACTCTTGATATTGGGGTTGTAAGTTCAAGCTGCATGTTGGGTGTAGAGGCTACTTAAAACTATAATTTAAAAAGAGAGAGATTGAAGACCAGTAGATATATGAGAGTTTTATTTTAACCCAAGTCTCCTGGAGATTAATTTTTAGTGAAAATGTTTTGAGACCTTAAGTGTTGACACTGTGAACCTAAGAAAATACTTAGGAAAGCTGTCCCCTTCCCCTCCCTCCTAATTCAGTGATAAGTCCTCTAAATTCTGGTCTTGATCTCTCTTGCCTTCTTTCTCCTCGTTGCTACCAGAATTGTTGGTTATCATTGTATCCTTTTGCCCCTTATCCCTCTCAGTGGCACTTCCCCCATTTGCCAGATGAGAACACGATGAGGGGAGATTGAAGTTACCAGCTACCAGGCTGTTAATCAGCATCTGTTTCTGGGATGGACTGCCCTCTCCATTTCGTTCTGCCATTTGCAGTTGGAGTGGGTAGACATGAGCCAGAGTCCTGGAGAGTTCCGACACCAACTTCACTGTTTCCTCCTGCCTCTTAGCAGACTCTTAGCTGCATTTCCTCCTCCTTCTCTGGGAAGCCGTTAAGATTATAGGCTTTGGAACTAGACCAACTTGGATTTGACTTTTGGCTCTGTGGCCATGGAAAGTGTTGTGGTTGAATTATGCCCCTCCAAAAAGATGTGTGGAGAGTGTGAACCCCTAGTACCTCAGAAACTGACCTTATTTGGAAATAGGGTCGTTGCAAATGTAATTAGTTAAGAGGAGGTTGTCCTGAAGTAGGGTGGGCCCTCATCCAATATGACGTCTTTATAAGAAGATGACCATGTGGAGACACAGAGACTCCATGTGAAGATGAAGGTGGAGATTGGAAATGAGATGCCTTACAGGCCAAGAACACCGAGGCTTGCCCACCATTACCAGAATCTTGGAGAGCGCCATGGAAAAGATTCTTCCTCACAGCGCTCAGAAGGAGTCAGCCCTGCCAACACCTTGATTTCAGATTTCTAGTTTCTGGGACTCTGAGGGACTCAACTTCTGTTCTTTTGAGCCACACAGTCTTTGGTGCTTTGTTAGAGCAGCCCCGGGAAACTGACACACAGGAAGTTACATGACTTTCCCGGGCCTCGGTGTCCTCATCTGTAGAACTGGTATAGCACACCCTGCATCATGTGATATTGTGTGTGTGTGTGAGAGAGAGAGAGAGACCATCAAGAGGCACTTTCTGCTTTCTCATTCTAGTCTTCCCTAGCAGGGTTGATGCAGCTGACTGATTTGCCCTCTTTGTTCCCCCTCCAGCTGAGTGAGGAGTTGGATCAGGTGGTTGAGAACTCAGAGCGGACGGACGAGCAGGAAAAGGAGACAGACGGAGTCCAAGGTCCAGGAGTTTTACCAGGTAAGTGGGTTCAGCACTGGGGCGGAAGGGCTGGAAAGTGGTGCTCTGCCGTTGCCGCAGCCAGAGGCCCCAGCCCGGGCGCCTTGCCAGCTGGGTACCTGCGGAAGAGGAGGAGCCCCCCTGCCCCACGCCCCGGTGTCAGGTCTCCAGTATTGCCCCAGTTTGAAAGCTATCCATATTTAACCAGCCTGGGGACGGAGGATGTGTCCAGGCCAGTGTCTGTTCTTTTCTGTGCTCTGGTGTGAGCCACTTCCTGAGGCCAGGCCGTTGGATACAGTGATCTCTGCTCTTCTGTTTGTTTTTCCCTAGGAGGCAGTTAGCAGTGGAGCCTCTTAATACCGGAGTCACTTCCCAGGGCTCTCTAGGAGAATATAGGCCTCACCTCCTGAACATCAGGTCTCCCCATGATTGTCACCCAGCCGGGCAAGCAGGGTCCCATTTATCAGGCTGCATCCTAGGGAGTCTTACGGACTCCCTCCTGGATACACTCTGCTCCCTTATGTGACATCCTGTGTAACACTTGACTTCCCAGACCGCTTGTTCCCTCCAGCCGCCTTCGAGTCTCCTTCTAGGTCTTGGGTGTTAAATGTTGGTCAGAGGCCCCCATGTTGCTGTGGAGGGCAGGCTCACCCGGGCCAACATCCCTGCTTCCATCCCTGCTTTGCTCGCACACGTTCACACTCCTAGCCCAGAGCGTACTAGCCCAGAGCTCCAGACTTGCATATCTGGTATATCCAGATGCCCCCTGGTAGCTCTGCTTGACTGTCCCAAAGGTACCCTAAACCTCAAACTGACCTCATGACCTCATGGTCTCCCCCCTCCCAGCGTGGCCCTCTTCCGGTATTTCCTGTTTCCCGCCACCCATCCAGCTGAATCAGAGTCCTTTTCTTCCCCTTCCTTCCTTTCTTCCCCTTTTCCTCTGCCGCTCAGCCACGCTGGCCTTCTTTCACTTAGGCCTCCCTCCCTTCCACCCTCCGGCGTTTCCGTAGTTTTAGTCCTCTGCCGGGAAGGGTCTTCGGTCTGTCGTCTAGTTAATGCTAATGGTTCTTCAGCTCTCGGCGCATCCACTGTTCTCTACAAAGCCTTTCTGACCTCCTGGCTGGATTGCTTGTCCCCTCCAGCCCTGTCCCTTGCGGCCTGCACACCTCTCTGTTGGCGCTGTCCCTCATGGGACGGGGGTTCATCTGCCGGGCACTTGATGAGCGTCGGTGCTGCCAGCACGTAAGCTCCGTGAAGGTAGACGCTGCTCCGTTTCCCTCCCCACCTTGGCCCTGGCCAAGCCAGGTTCATTGTTGAACCAATGAATGAGTGAATGGAGCTGCTTCTCGGGTGGATTAAAGGAGGTGGACTTCTGATCCTCGTGATGCTTGCATTTATGGGGGAGAGGACGGAGCTGGGATCTTCTGTGATGGTGCTTAATCCCCACAAGGCTGTAGAAGGGACGAGACCGGAGGAGGAGCTCTTTCCTGACAGCTTTCTCCGAGCCAAGCTCTGTCCTCTCTGTTGCCCCATTGAATTCTCATAGCTTTCGCCTCCAGGGTGGTGGTCAACCTGATTTTCATGGATGAGGACCCGACGCCCAGGGGAGTTAAGGAAAGTATGGAAAGATCTGGGCTGATAAACAGACTGGATCCAGCTCTGTCTGACCTCAGACTCTTTCTACCACACCAGTGCCTCTTAAGAAGTATTTTAAGCATCTTTTATTAAAGCCTCTTGCGTAAAAGGTAGTAGCATGTCTGCCCCACTCTGGCTCTCGGCACTGCCTCTGAAGCCCTCAAGCCCCAGGGAGAGAACGGTACATCCGTATTTATCTGCATTAGCTCTGCATATTAGTTTCTGTTGTCTCTATAATGAAGTACCACAAAGTTAGTGGCTTAAAGCAACACAGATTTATTATCTTACAGCTCCGGAAGGCAGAAGTCCAAAATGGGTCTCACTGGGCTAAAATTAAGGTTTCAGCAGGATTGCGTTCTTTTCTGGAAGCTGTAAGGGAAAATCCATCTCCGTGCCTTTTCGAGCTTCTAGGGGCTGCTCACATTTCTTGGCTCATGGCCCTTTTTCCATCTTCAAAGCCTCCCGTGGCCAGTTGAGGCTTTCTCATATCTTATCGTCTGACACTGACTTCTGCCACCTCCTCCCTGTTTAAGAGCCCTGGGCGGTGTTGGGCTCACCCAGATAACGGAGGAAAATCTCCTTGTCTTAAAGTCAGGTGAGGGGCAGCTTTAAGCCCACCTGCTGCCTCAGTTTCTCTTTGGTCACTTGAGCTGTTGATAGTGCCAAGAATGAGGCACTGCTGCACACCCTGCTGTCTGCCCTCTGGCCCCCAGTCGGAAGAGGATGGATGGAGATGGCCAGACGAAGAGGAGACAGGCCAGTCTTGGAAAGATGAAGAGTTCTTTTGTGTTTCCTCTTAGAGATAAGTGCCCTGCAGACTGGGAAGTGTTCGTGATGACCTTTGGCCTTGGCTTCTCTTTTGCCTCCGATTCCTGGGGCCTTAAATCCTGAGGTCAGCCTGAGCAGGAAGGCGGACCTCAAGCAGAGTAAATTTTGGGTAGTTCCAGGGCCTGGCAAGAGCCTCCCATGCTTTTGGTGGACCCTTCTGGGTGCATCTCCTTTGTAGACCATAGAAGATCCAGACTCCGAAGTCTCAGTAGTGAGTCGGCCTGAGCTTGATGAACGTGATGACCTGATACACAATTCTCAGAGCTCATTTCCAGCCTTTGAGCCCTTGAACAATAGTTCAACTAATGGTAATGAGGACAGTAGCCACCATTTATTTCCTGGGTGCTTTCACGTACTGGGCCTGCATAGGGCTTTGTGTCTGTGCTTACACAGAGCCATCACGGCCACTCTGCGGAGGAGCTGGTTAGTCTGGAGGCATGGAGAGGTTAAGTAATATTCTCAGAGCTTCTGAGTGGCAGGGCTGGGATTTGAACCCAGGGCTGCCTCCCGGGGTGTCCTGACTCTGGCTTAGTTTCTAGATGAGCTGCTTTTCTGCTCCCAGATTCTCCCCTTCCTCTACCAGAGTTACTCCTGGACTCCTTCACCTGTTACTCCATGTGCTAAAACTACAAAGAGGGCAAATGAGGCAGGATCCACCTTCAGGGACTCAGGACATGTAGAGAGAGAAGGCAGGTTCCCCGCAGACGAACTTATCCATCCTTGTATAGAGCCTGCCCTGAGCAACCTAATGAGGGCCTTTTCTCCCTGTTAGGTGCTTTCCTGGCACTTGGTACTTTTTCTTTGTAGAATTTAAATTTAGCACAGCCGAAAGGGCATACTTATTGAATATAATTTTTTTTTCCTTTTAAGATTTATTTATTTTAGAGAGAGTGAGTGAGCACAAGCCAGGGGCAGGGCAGAGGGAGAGGGAGAGCGAGAACCCTCAAGCAGACTCCTTGCTAATCGCAGAGCCAGATGCACGGCCAATCTCACAACCCTGAGATCACGACCAGAGCCAAAATCAAGAGTCAGACTCTTAACGGACTGAGCCACCCAGGCACCCCTTGAATATAATTCTTTAACGAGTTGTTACCAACCCCCTGGACCTGCCCCCAGGAGTGCTTCTGTGAGGCACTCCCAGAACTTCGTCTTAACCCCCTTCATTGTATCTCTGATGCTTACTTCGCAGAGCACCTGGTCCATTGTGGGCGCTCAGTATTTGTACTCAGGGGGACGCGGGGGTTTGGAACAGGAATGTATGTCATTTGAGCAATTGGAATGAATGATTGAGGGTCAAGGAAATAGTAGGGCTAACAGAAATGGGGCTTCAGAAATGAACAAAAGGGGGCTTCCTTAGTGAAGGAAGTGGGATTAACCGGAGGAAGGGCGATTGCCCTGCGCAGTCCTAGCCCACGAAAGCACCCAGTGACTGGTGGCTAGTATCCTCCTTAGGTGGAAAAGAAGGGGCTGGCCAGGGAGGAGGGATGGCACCCGCAACCATGGAGAGCTCGGGATAAAAACAGGGTGCATTGGAAGCTGGGTAGCGGGGTGTGTTTGGAGTGGTGGGTTGGCGAGAGAACTAGAAGCAGATGAGGCGGAAGGACAGATTGAGTCCGATTAGGGAGGGCTTTGTGTGGCAGGGTTTAGCCTTTACAGAGTGGGGCGTATTTAATGGGATTGGAGCAGACCGGTAAGTGGGGTAAGCGGCGCCACTGGGCTGGGTCAAAGGCTGGTGTGGCAGGCTGCTGCGAGGAGCGGGAGAAGGGAGACTCAAAGAAGACTCTGAGGCCGGGTGAGTGGGCAAATGTAGATCTATTTCAGTCTGGAGGGGTGAGTAACTCGAAGAGAAGGTGCTCTTGTGCTGCAGACACATGAAGCCCCAGTGGGCGTGGTGTGTCTGGGCTGACGGCCCTGAGGCAGAGCTGAGCACTGGCACAGTGAAGGTGGGAGCCTTGAAGAAAGCCTGGGACCATGTATAGAGGGAGCTCTGGAGACTGGGCCTCGAGGAATGGCCACGTTTGGGGACCAGAAGAGGAGGGGGAGCTGGAGCCTGATGGAGGGCCTAGAGGTGGGAGCCACAGGACAGGAGGCCGGTACTGGGATGCTGAGCCTGCTGGCACTGGGCAGCACAGGTTCAGGCTAAGCATCAAACGTTCAGGATTATATTCCCAGTTTTACTCTCCAAGATAAGTAACTCCAATCCATAATCTGAGAGCCTCAATCTGTTTCCTCTCCATCAGGGGAATCCCAACCACTTACTCTCTCCAAAGGGAGAAATGAGAGCAGACGTGTTAACTGAATAAGCAGTTTATTATATCACAGTTGAAATAAAATTGAGGAAGACACTTGGCTAGTTAGTCATTATAGTCAGTTCTCCATGGAAACAACTGTATATTAATAGAATTGACAAAAATCAGCAGCCAAAGGAAAAAATATATTGGATCTCCTCAAAATGAAAACCTTAAGTGCATTAAAAGACACTACCAAGAAAGTGAAAAGACAGCCCGCAGGATGAGAGAACTTTTCAAATCACATGTCTAATAAGGGACCTGTATTTA